CAGTGCTGAGGGAGTGCCGCACTGTCGGAGGGTCAGTGCTGAGGGAGTGCCGCACTGTCAGAGGTTCAGTACAGAGGGAGTGCCGCACTCTTGGAGGGTCAGTACAGAGGGAGTGACGCACTCTTGGAGGGTCAGTACAGAGGGAGTGCCGCACTCTTGGGGGGTCAGTACAGAGGGAGTGACGCACTCTTGGAGGGTCAGTGTTGAGGGAGTGCCGCACTGTGGGACCGAAATGTGTGTGCTACTTATGTATAACAGTGGGATTGGAGTGAGGGTGGTCTTGGCAGCTGGGTTGCCCTGAGGTGGTGGGTGGGGGGAGTGGGGTGCGGTTTCGTGCTGTAGGGTCCAATGTTGGCCACTCACCCTCAGCGCGCGTTGGATGAGGAACCGGGCCAGGGCACTGTCGTGGTATGGTTCGAACTTCAACGCCTGAAGGAGGAGGTGAGAAAAAGCACAGCTCACAATCCAATGTGATTAATCAACTCGCTTTTGCCTAATCCTATCCATCGCCACCCCCACCCTTAATCTCCACACCCCCCCGACCCCCCAATCCTGGGGACAACCCCTCGAGCCTCCTTGATCATGGCTCTGATCGGATTGTAGCCTGAATGTCACTTTCCCTTGTTTCTCGGGACAAATCTACTGACCCCACACTCCAGTGCTCTGTGAGGAACAGGATTCTACAGAAATGGGGAGGGTAGGACAAGGGGGGGCACGGGAGTGTGGGATTTTTTGGGGGAGCGGGGTTTGAGGTATTTTCCACCATTTCAGGACTATTGGTCACCAGGTCACAGACAGAGCGCCATCACCTCCTCAGCATTGGACAGAGGCCAGGCTTCACCACCTCCTCAGGCCCTGGGGCCTAGTCGCCTCGAGAGAAGTGAGTGAGTGGGAAAACATCGGAAAGGTAAAGTTGCCATCACCTTCCTGGACCATAGGGCTAATCTCTCAATAGACAGAGACAGTGGTGGTTTAACCTTAGGGTCACCATACCCCAGGGGAGGGGAAGAGGGTGAGAAGGTTAAAGGTTGACAGCACCCAATTGGATGCTGGTACAGTGACGAAAACAGACTGAAGGATAGCCTGGTCGATCATGTCAGTATTGTCTTTAACACAGGGTCCTTAGGAGTCAACTCGATTGATTTGGCAACAGTTGACCAAAGGGTTCAGACCTTAAATTCTCAACATTAGAAAATTCTGGAAAAGGGACAAGGGTCCAGGACAGATAGCTCAGTCCAGGCACAGGGTCATTCCGAATTTGGGGACTGTGCTGGAGAATCAGGCACGGTCCCATTAACAGTTAATTACAGAGCGATCTCTGCAATGATGCAGTCGGCAATGATATGGGCAGTATCTATGGATTAATGCGGGAATCCCTAAGACAGGTTCCTGAGGGTGAGGTATCGATGGGAATGATTAATGCTCAGTGTTTATCCTGTGCATGGCTTGATCAGCTGAGGGCTCTGCAGTCTACCACATGGAGATAAAACTGATACAGATTGTGTAACATCATAATTATTTAATCTTCATACATTGTGACAGTGTCAGTGCGAGTACCCATTAAGACACTGTAGACAGACAGTTAGGGGTGATTATTATGCGGGCATTACATGCTGTAAAGTAGATTGATGGAGTACAGTTTCTCATTGACAGTGCATCCACATCCAAGACAGACAGTCCCCAGGTTCTGTTCCGGAGTTAGTCTGCACTCACATCGGAACAGAAATATAAAGCAGCCGTTGTAAGTATAGGAAATGTTCAGATCTTTAAAATTACACCCTGTATGGGATCACACTGGTAAGTATAAGTGATTATAAGTCGGATATTTGTAAAACAGGGAGCCCCTGTAAATGAAACAGAAGAAGCAAGGTGCAGGTTTAATCTGACTCTTCAATAGTAGCCATATGGAGAGCAGTGGGACCAGCTCACATTGCAGTCTGGGCACAGGGAGGTATTGCAGCATAATGACGCCCGAGGAATATCAATCAAGAAACTATTAATCCTGCTCTCTCGCCCAGTGTGGAGTCTATTTGTACCCACACACACTGGCTGCGATGGTCATGATGTAACTGGTGAAAACCTACTGGAGAGAAGCTGTTAACAAAGAAGTGAAGGAACACCTTGAGGAAAACCACATTCAAGCCTGTCCTCCCATCTAATCCCACAGGTATATAGCTCAGGAGTATTGGAGATAACATCCAGTGAATGGACATCTTACACTCTGCAGCAACAAGCTAGACTACTGGCTTTTCTTTAGAATTCACTCATGGGGTATGGGTGTCATTGGCTGGATCCAGCATTTATTGCCCGTCCCTAGTTGCCCCTTGAGAAGGTGGGGGTGAGCTGCCTTCTTGAACCGCTGAAGTCCATGTGTTGACCCACAATGCCCTTAGGGAGGGATTTCCCGGATTCTGACCCAGCGACAGTGAAGGAACAGTGATATATTTCCAAGTCAGGATGGTAAGCGGTTCGGAGGGGAACTTGCAGGGGGTGGTGTGATCCAGGGAGCTTCAGAAGCCAAACTGGGGAAGGGAGCATCTGTTCTGAGGAAGGGTCACCGGACCCGAAACGTTAACTCTGATGTTTCTTCCTTCACAGATGCTGCCAGACCTGTGAAGCTTTTCCAGTAACTTGTGTTTTTGTTGGGGAAGGGAGTGGTTTGTGTTAGGAGGTCACAGAGACGGGGAGGGGGGAGGCTGAGTGGATTTAGTGCAGCATAGAACACAAAGGGGAGGTTGTGAGACACCAGCCAAGAGCACATTAGAATAGACTAGTCTACAATAATGAAGCCATAGATAGGGTTTCAGGAGCAGATCAGTAGGGGAAGGGTGAAGTTGTGTGTTGTTACAGACGTAGATATGGGCAGTTCTGGTAACGGTGCAGATCTAAGGTCAGAAACTCATCTCAGGATCGAGTGTGACACCATTGGTTCAATCTCAACTGTTGCCATGGAGACGGATAGGATCAATAGCTAAGGAATGGATTTTGGAGCAGGAATGAAAGACAATGGCTTTGGTCTCCTCAATATCCACCTGACCCAGAGAGATGTGGTTCTCCATGGTTGGCTACATTCAACATTGACATCAACGTGTGGTTTTGGTCTCTCTGAGAATCAAGGGAGATGGGGGCTGAGGTCAAAGATCAGTCACAATCTTATTGAAAGATGAAGCAGGCTGAAGGGCTGAATGGCCTTCCATTGCTCCTGTGTCTTTTGGTTTTATAGTCTTCCTACCATCCCCAACTCATTCCTGAGAACACCCAGAGCAAAGAGAAACTGGTATCACCTGGACGAGCTGTAAGAGGTATCTCAACAGATGGTCATTGTCCACCTCTTCCAGTCGCTGTACGGAGAGGGTCCTGACCTTCTCATCAGCAATGTTGATGCTGAGCAGTTCCAGTGCGACGGCGATATCCAACTCTGGAGGGTTCCAATGGTCAAACAGCCAGTGTACCTCCTCAACTGCTTTCAGATCGCCCCATTGGACGGTGCTGAGAAATGTGGGTAGTGAGAGGCTGTACCGAGCACACTCCTCTGTGAACCGTTTTAGCAAGTCCCTCTGTGAACCGCTCAGGGAACACCGAGTCTCCTCCTGCACCACTTCCTGTTTCACAGGGACCACCTCATCTTCGGACTGGTCAACCCATGAGGAGCGAGAGCCCCTGCCACTGGGTAACACCACCGGGTAATTGTAGGTGTCCAGCAGGATACAGATTGCTGTCGAATTCTCAATGTCTGGGTTAGTCTTTGATGAGAGTTTGTCTACCTCGTGGGTGACAAGACTGTCCTCGTGACATGAGTACGCCCACATATGAAGGATGTGCTCACCTTGCTGAAGGAATGACCGGTGATCGATCAGGAGAAGGTTGACAAAAAAGAAAAGCTTGGTCTTCCCTCTGTAAGCATCTCCATCTTTAACGTTCTGGGAAGTGGCCTTTCCATCTCTTGCAGTCGAGCTCTCTTGGTCCAGGCCGTACACAGACAAACTCAACCTTGACCCTTGGGGCAAATTCTTCACCAAAATGTCAAACTCCAGCCAAGTGTTCCACAGAATCTCTTCGGTCAGTGGCATTGGCTGAGAACGGGCCGAAGCAAGGACGTTTGTGGCATGATGCACAGCTCCCTCCACAAATACATTCGGGAGGCTTTTGCTGGGCAGAACGGGAATGTCTAAGCCTACAACCTTGACGCGGAAACGCTGATTGCAATCCCAGAGCGAGAGCATTTGAATCTGCTCAATATCTTTGCCCCTCAGGGTCAGTTGGTCATGGGTGCTGGTGAGCCCTGTGCATTGGTCAATCAAAGGCCAGTCCTCAACCTTCACCTCATCATCTGCAAGGCATGGAGATGGCACCAGTGCCAGTTGCAACTCTTCTTTATTCTTGATGCAGCGTCTCACCCAGGTAAAGTCAACGAGTGGCCAGTTTCCTGTGATATACTCTTCTCTTCCCCAGACCTTTAAGACTAAGTTGTCATGAGCACTTTCCATCTCCATCTTCTCTCTGCAGAGGCGGACAACCATGTCTGCTGTGTCATAAATCCCCACCTTCATTTTATGGCTGACAGCGTTGTAGGAGATGGCAACCACCAACTCTTTGCTGATTTGGCTCTGCAGGGTGCTGGGAAGAGGACAGGAGGCCAGCCAAGGCTCCATCGCATAATCCCACCCGTTCCGATTGTGCATCTCAGTTTTCCGAGCCGAGCCAAGTTTCCTCCGCGCAAAGGCCACCTCTCTGTGCTGGTCGGCGTCGATGCCTTGTAAGTCATAGCCAATCAGGTGGGTCAGGCATTTCCAGAATTCCCCAGCCTCTTTCGTAGCCTTGGCTCGCTGCTTGATGTAAAGCAGACACTTCTTGGATCCCAAACACTTCCAATACTTCACAGAGTCCAGAGTGTGCAGGAGCTGCTGGTTGTCATAAATCTCATACCATGTCGCTCCCTTCTTGTACAGGAGCTGATAGGAATCCGGGCCGGAAAGTTGATAGACAGAGGGTTTGGCACTCTCCTGGCTCGCTTTCAGCCAGATCAACCCCCAGAGGCTCCTCACTGTGCTGTTCATTGGTACCTCCACAGTGATCACCTCGTTACCTGCCTCGTGAGGCCTCTGCGTGGGCAGCACGGCCACAAACTGCATCGTCCCTGAGTCAGGGATGGGCCCCAAATGGCAGCGACCTGTCTCCCCGACATCCTTATCGATGGGGCTCGGAGCTCGCTGTGGGTCCATGCTGGGCTCCTACGGCTTCTAAAACAATCAGCGAAAAAGAAAATGTAACACACTGTCCCCCGTTTTAATTCAACAGAATCTCTCCTTCCACTATCAGAACAGGAAGAGTTCAACCATCAAATCCCAGGTCAGGGGCACTACGGGGTTAGATACAGAGTAAAGCTCCCTCTACACTGTCCCCCATCAAACACTCCCAGGACAGGGACAGCAGAGGGTTAGATACAGAGTAAAGTTCTCTCTACACTGTCCCCATCAAACATTCCCAGGACAGGGACAGCATGGGGTTAGATACAGAGTAAAGCTGCCTCTACACTATCCCCCCATCAAACATTCCCAGGACAGAGACAGCAC